CCGTCTCTACTAAAAATACAAAAATTAGCTGGGCGTGGTGGTGCATGCCTGTAGTCCCAGCTACTCGGGAGGCTGACACAGGAGAATTGCCTGAACCCAGAAGGAGGAGGTTGCAGTGAGCCGAGATCACGCCATTGCACTCCAGCCTGGGTAAGAAGAGCGAATCTCCGTCTCAAAAAAAAAAAAGAAATGGGCAACATGACCACTCAAAGAACCCACCTGCATAATCAGCAGCCTGGGCAACAAGTTGAGACTCCATCTCAATAGAAAAAAAAAAGCTGAAAGACCGAGCACAACAACTTAAGGACAGTCAGTTCACCTGGCCCCAGTGGTTCTGTAACCCCCGGGCACCCTGGCCACCGCCCCTCCTAGCTCCTGCCATAACCCTTTCTCCTTTTGGCAATGAGCCCCTGCCTCTTATGTCTCCTCACCCACCTTTTACAGGACCGTATTAGAGCTTTCGCCCATGGACACAAGATCCGACGCTGCTCCAAGAGTACCGACATCTCCAGGAATGACAATCCCTACCAACTAGCCCCACACACAGTCACCCTTCCAACAAGAAGCAGCCGGATGACAAGGGCGCCCTCTTCTGTTACCTATTAACAGGCAGGAATGTAAGGGACAAGCTGCCTCAGAAAACCCCCTCCGCATGTCTGACCCCTCCCCCCACCCCTCTTCAGACTGCTCTGCAGCTGCATTCCTGACCCCATGTAGGAGCCACAACAAGGCTGCCAGTCATGCTGTGATTAAGCAAAGCCTGATTACAGCCATCTGGGCAGCTCCTGGGAGGACAGGGAGAACAAACGTTCGTTACACATACTTGCAAATTTCTGTTTTTTAAAAACTGCCACTACGAAGGTCAGAGGATGCTGTAAGTCTGTCACAGGCGACAAGCTATCTCTGTGCTTGCTACAAGCTGACAGACGCTCTCACTCCCCAAACTCTCTCAGGCCCCTCTCACCCTACAGCGACCCCTCCTTTTGGAAGCTTGGGGCCTCCTCTGACGGTTCCGAAGCAGCCCGGCAGGTTAATAAAACTTGCTTCCTGATTCCGGCCCACACATCCTTTCTCTCAGCTAATCTTACAGAAATGCTGCTGCAGTGGAAGCTCATCATGTCACCTGGGTCACTCCTGCCACATCCAACCCATACAAGAGGCAAAAAGAAATTATTTAGGCAGAGCTTTCCTTCTAACAAAAAGCTGCCCAAAAATCATTTTGTTCGCCGGGCGCGGTGGCTCACACCTATAATCCCAGCACTTTGGGAGGCCGAGGCGGGTGGATCACGAGGTCAAGAGATGGAGACCATCCCAGTCAACATGGTGAAACCCCGTCTTTACTAAAAATACAAAAAAATTAGCTGGGCATGGTGGCGCGTGCCTGTAGTCCCAGCTACTCAGGAGGCTGAGGCAGGAGAACTGCCTGAACCTAAAAGGCGGAGGTTGCGGTGAGCCGAGATCGCACCATTGCACTCCAGCCTGGGTAACAAGAGTGAAACTCCGTCTCAAAAAAAAAAAAAAAAAAAAAGAAATGGGCAACATGACACAGCTCAGACAAAAAACCCACCTGCATAATCAAAGATTACAGACAAGGCTGCCAGAAATTCATGCCATATGCAAATGGCACATCTGGTCCTACCCAGTTTTTAAACCCCATGGAGATTAAGACACTGCCTCCCCACCAGCTTATCTGTAAAACACCCTGCATTTCACCACGGATCTGCAAACCATTTTTCCAGGACCCCTCTTTGTAGCAGAGAGCTGTTGTCTCTATTTCACCCATTGTACTCCTCTTAACCTCACACTTGCGTGTCCACGTTCTTGATCTCCATGGCTGTGAGGCAAGAAACCTCAGTTATTACCCCGGACAATGAGGCTGCTTCAAAACTCATCCAAAGTCAAGAGGCCAGATGGTAAATGAACTCAGGACACAAACACTGCTTCAAGATACAATTCTCTGAATCACGGCTGCTGGAACTTCTCACCCAAGCAGTCTCTCAGTCCCTTAGCATTCAATAGAACCTCCATGGCCCTTACCGCCCTCAGTCATCAGGAAAAGTAGAGAAAGCTGATGGCCTCCTGAAAGCCTTACCAAGCTCACCCTTCAACTGAAGGAGGACTGGCTATGCCTTCTACTACTGCTCTTCTCCTAATTCATGCCGCTCCCTGGGAGCACACAGGACACAGCCCGTTTGAACTCTTGTATGGCCCCACCTTTTTGCTTGGGCCTAACCTTCTCCCAGAAACTAGCCCTCTTGGACACAATCTTCCCCTTCTCCATCAAACTAGGCAGGAAATTCGTCAAGCTGCTAATCTCCTCTTACCTTCTCCAGATATCTGGCCTTATGAAGACACCTCAGCCGAACGATCAGTGCTGGTTAAGGATCTAACCTCTCCTGCTCTACAGCCTCGGTGGAAAGGCCCCTACCTATTTGTCTACAGCACCCCAACTGCTGCTTATCTACAAGACCCTCCTGTGGGTAACCCCCCATATAGGCACCAAGGAATGAGAGCTAAGCAGAACCCTGGCACAGTTAGGGCTTGAGGAATATCTCACTTTATAGTGTTATCACTCAGCTATTTCCTTTTATATAATCCTTTATATAATCATATATTAGTTTATAGAAATAGGGCTTGATGAATCCCTTTATCTAATCCTCTATATATAATCATATAATAGTTGATAGTATGAGTGCCTAAAGAATATTTCCCTACATATATACCTATAATTATATCTTAGATCATAATCGGAGGAATGCCTAGAGTGGACACAGTACAGAGCATGAATTAAGGAAAAAGCAGCTTATAATCACAGGAATGCCTAGAGCAGACGCAGTGCAGAGCATGATTTAAGGGAAAAACAGTTATACCAGGACAAGAATCCATGGAGGCGGCAGCGTTCAGTATCGTAAGGATACCCGCTGTATGGCAGGCTTGGGGCGCGAGCCACTCCTCCTGATGAAGGAGTTGTAGGACCTTGCTCCACTTCTTGTAGAAGGCCGCCCTCAGACTGGCAATCCACCTTGGTGACTGTGAACTTATCAGCTCTTGCTACTGTGCTGCTTGAAAAGCATCTTCCCAGAGAACCCATTGGAAGCTGCCAGAAGGTGGCGGTAACCTTGACAGCTCTGTCACTGCTATGTGACTTAAAGCATCCACCTATAAATCTTCTTAGAAGTAGTTTGACCATAGATAGAAGTATTGCACACTGTGCACGGCCCATCTTCAAACCTCGGTGACCTAATGGGGGTGGACCCCTTACTGCGAATGGTCCTTGCCATCGTGGAAACAAGCCCCTTGCTGTGCACTGTCCACCTCCTGGCCTAGGTGACCTAATGGGGGTGGACCCTATGTTTTATTGCTCACGACCCTATCACTATCCTTAAAGATGATTTCACTCACTGCCCTGCCCGCTAACCTAGACACAATAAATACTCATGCTTCTGGACTTTCCGGGCCTCGCCTGACTCTGCTCATAGGTGGCGTGGCCCCCAGAGCCCAGCTGCGTTTTCCTTGTACTTCTGTGTCCTGTCTCTGTATTTCTCGGATCCTGCACCTCGGCACAACATAAGGCTCACCCCACGACACTGTGGTGGCATCAGCCTTACATCTGGCTCCCAATGTGCCCTACACCTCCCCACAGGGTTCACTGCTTCAGGATTAAACTGTGTCCATCATATGACCAGCCTAGCCCAACCACCTCCCCTTGGAAGTCACAAGTACTCTCTCCTACTTCTCTTAAGCTAACTCAAATTCCTGAAGAGTAGACACCACCACACACGAGTTTAGATTATATTCTAACATGGACTGGAATTCTTAACTTTGCTATTTACAAAGGACTGTATGCAGTCACCCCTAAATCTAGGTCTGCACTTCACAAGCTCTCTATTTCTGTTGTTTTCTTTCTAATCATACTTCTAATTACCCTTGTCATCTATATTCATTTATTTTTGAGACGCAGTTTAGCTCTTGTTAACCAGGCTGGAGTGCAATGGCACGATCCCGGCTCACCACAACCTCTGCCTCTCAGGTCCAAGCGATTTTCCTGCCTCAGCCTTCCAAAAAGCTGGGACTACAGGCGTGTGCCACCACGCTCGGCTAATTTTGTATTATTAGTGCAGACAGGGTTTCATCATGTTGGTCCAGCCGGTCTCGAAGTCCTGACCTCAAGTGAGCCACCTAACTAGGCCTCTCAAACCGCTGGGATTACAGGCGTGAGCCACAGCACCGGGCTCCTCTCTTTTATTTTCATTTTTGCCGTTTCTTGGCAAATCCCTCACCCATCTTTTACTTTGCTATCTGTTATGGGTCTTTCTCATTCTTCTTTTCTTGCTCAGGTTTTCTACCCCTGTCTGTCTCCTAATCCTTTTGGCCCACACAATCACAGGAGTGTTTGAAGGAGGACGCCGGTGTCCTGGAGGAGCGCATTTTCCAGGGACTGGAGCTGGGCAGGGAAGAACACCCCGAGTCACAGGACAGGCCCCGGGCACCTCTCCAGCTCGAGCTCAGGGGATGCAGTCACTGTGGAGGAGAGACCTGGGGAGCAGCGGGGCCTGGCACCAGGAGGAAGGTGTGGGGGCGACGGCGTCTTAAGACAAGGGTGGGGTCTGCAGGACCTCCACCAGACAGAGGGCCGCAGCGCTGCGCTCCAGGAGCCGACAAGGGCGAGGGTGGTAGGTACCCAGGGCGAGAATCCACCTCTTGGATGAGAATCTCAAAAAGAGCGGGCGGGAAGAGTCAGAAAGAGGTTCTGAGCTGGAAAACCACAATAGGAAGTCTATAAAGTGTCCTATAGCAGAAAGACCGGGAACCGGACCAGCCTCAATGCAACTTTCAAACCAAAAAGAAGCGACCCCAGGACTCTCACGACGACGTCTCAAGTTTGCTCTGGGTGAAAATACGAGCGACAATTTTCAGGTCTGTGGGGACCCCAGGTCCCAGGTACAGAAGCGCCAGGGGACTTGGGAAGCGCAGACAATACAAGACAGAGCGAAACTTACCCGTCTCTGTGGAACGTTGACTTCGCGCGACCTGCTTCCGGGTCCACAGGAAGGAAGCCAGGCCTGGGCGAGCCCCTCGTGCGGTGGGCGGGACCTGGGCGAGACCCTCGAGGGGTGGGCGGGGCCTCGAAGAGACTCTGGAGGGGGTCCGGGGGCCTGGGCGACACTCGAGGGGTGGGCGGGGCCTTGGAGAGACCCTCGAGGGGCTGCGGGGGCCTGGGCGAGACTCGAGGGGTGGGCGGGGCCTGGCGAGGTAGGGGCGGGGCGCCAGGCGGAGAGACCTCCCCCTTTAGCACCGGCAGAGGGCGGGGCCAGGACCGGGCATCTCTCAGCCTGGCTCCCAGTGCCTTTTTCAGGTTTTGGAGGCGAAAACGACCAGGAACGGTAAGGCATAATTCAAAAGTCGTGGAATTGTTTTTTTGACAATTCCTGGAAGCAGCAAAGTAACACTCCCTCCAGCAGGACTTTCTTCCTCGTCTCTCCCTCTAAAACTTTTTTAAACAAAATTTTTGATGGTGTGACATAGGGATCCAACATTATTCTTTTCCATGTGGATATCCAGTTAGTGTTCAGCACATTTGTGTAGAAGAGATCTACTTTCTCTTTTGTATTTACTTCCCCCCCCCCCCTTTTTTTTTTGAGATAAAGTATTTCTCTATCGCCAGGCTAAAGTGCAGTGGTGAGATCTCGGCTCACTGCAGCCTCTGCCTCCTGGGCTGAACCAATTCTTCTTCCTCAGCGTCCAGAGTACCTGACATTAAGGAGTTCACCACCATGGCCAGCTAATTTTTGTATTTTTGGTAAAGGAGTTTCACCATGCTGGCCAAGCTGGTCTCGAACTTCTGACTTCAACTGACCCAGCTGCTTATGCCTCCCAAAGTGCTGGGCTTACAGTCCTGAGCCAGAGTGTCTGGCCCAAGAAACACTCTTTATTTCACTTTGTAAATGCTGAGAAAATATAATTGAAAACAAAGTATTTCCCCAAATGAGAAATCATCTCCACTACAAAATAAGAGAGAAAGAAATAAAAACCATTTTACTAATAAATAAGCCTTAGACCAGAATGTGATGGGAAATGGAGGCAAACACCTAAGAGATTGAAAAGAGATGCCAGATGCAGTGGCTCAAGCCTGTAATCCCAGCACTTTGGGAGACCGAGGTGGGTGGATCACGAGGTTGAGATCGAGACCAACCTGGTCAACATGGTGAAAACCCGTCTCTACTAAAAATACAAAAAAAAATTAGCTGGGCACGGTGGCGCGTGCCTGTAATCCCAGCTACTCAGGAGGCTGAGGCAGGAGAATTGCTTGAACCCAGAAGGTGTAGGTTGCGGTGAGCCGAGATCGCGCCATTGCACTCCAGCCTGGGTAACAAGAGCAAAACTCCGTCTCAAAAAAAAAAAAAAAAAAAATGAAATAAAACTGCCCATAAGGCATAAACGTTGAAAAAAAAAAAAAAAAAAAAAAAGAAATTTCCCAAAAACCAGATGAAAATTCTGCCTAATTCCTTTTCTGCCTTAGAGGCTCTCCAAAAACACACTCATGTTGACCCTGCCTCCCCAGAAGAAACTACTGGTCTTAATACCCATTTTATCTCCCAATCTGCCATGGCACGAACTGAAAAAGGCTGAAGATGGTCTTCAAACCCCACCAGACCTCCTTAGCCTGGCTTTCAGAGTCTTCAACAACAGGGACGAGGAAAGGAAATTAGACAAAGTCCCCAAAATCATGCCAAATACCAGCTTCTAGCTGCAGCTGTCCATCAGCCCAGCCACAGCACCCAAGGGCACAAATGACCCAATAGCAGGGGCTCTCCGGGGCCTTGTTTAAAGTGCAGCAAAGAAGGCCACTGGGCGCAGGCATGTCCAAACCCATGAGTGCCAGAATCCCCTTGCCCGCTTTGCCAACAGACAGGCCACTGGAAGTCTAATGTCCTCAACAGACAGAAAAGCTTGCGCCTCAGCGCCACCACCTCTTCAGCAAGAAGAAAAGTGAAGCATGACCGCACTCCCGCAGCCCCTCGGCCTAGCTGCTGAAGCCTGGCGAGGCCCAGGGCCCCCAGCCCCCTCTGCCGTTACTGCCTCAGAGCCCAGGGTAACTGCTAGTAGCAGGTAAATCGGTACTGGGCTAACATTCGGCTTGGCCTGAATTCTCAGGAACCATTCATTGCTCTCAGCTCTCAGCTGGGGCTGATGGACTCACCTCGTGCCCACCTGCCACCACACCTCTTCCCTATTTCATACTGTTTTCTCCCCCCTTTCCTTACCATGCATCATTGCCCTTCCTCCATCCTAGGCAGATCTCTAACCAAATTCAAAGCTTCCATCACCTTTTCTGTTCCCCACAACCAGATTCTCTCCTACTCCAATACCACACCAGACGTCGACCCCTCCCGCAGTGTCCGCTCCCCACGTCTCTTGTTAATCCCGTAGTGTGGGACACCACTACCCCTTCTCTAGCAGCTCGCCATGACCCCATCACCATCCAGCTAAAAGACCCCTCCAATGTCCTAATGTCTCTGAGTATCCCATCTCATTAACACACCTGCAAGGCTTAGGACCCACCTATCGGCTGGTCTGTGATTTCCGGACTAGCAATCGGGCAGTCCTTCCATTCATTCGGTGGTTCCCAATCCTTATATACTCCTTTTTTCTCATCTCTCCAGACACAACACATGACTCTGAAATAAACCTGAAAGATGCCTTTAAAAATAAACAAACAAACAAAAAAAACCATTTCTTTTCTTGCTGACTCCAAAAATCTCTTTGCTTTCCTTTGGACTCACCCTGAAACTCTCCAGTCAGGCCAAGGTACTTGGACAGTCTTCCCCCAAAGCTTTAGAGAGAGCCCCGTTTCTTTGGACAAGCTCTAGCTCAAGACCTGACCTCCCTTGACCTCATCCCTAGCCAGCTCCTCCAGCACGTAAATGAACTCCTCCCTATAGGGCTCTCAGACTCACACTATTACCCTCGTAAACTTTCTTGCTAGTAAAGGATGTAGGATTTCCCCCTCCAAAGCCCAACTCTCAGCTCCAACACCGACATGCTTAGGAGTTCAGCTCTCCCATAGGGCCCAAGCCACAACCCCAGCACGGGCAGCACTGACTGGTACACAGCCTGCCCCCACTCACCTCTAAGGATGTATGGATTCCCAATTATTCCCTCCTAACCCGCACCCTCTGTGAAGCAGCTAAAGGCCCTCTCGATGAGCCTCCAAATCCTTCACATGACATAGTCCCTAGCTTCCACACAGCTACAGCCACCCTTGTAACTGCTCCTGCTCTGCCTTTGCCTGACATTTCTCAGCCTTTCATTCTCTACACAGCCCAAAACCATGGAATAGCCCTTGGTGTTGAAAGAAAAGGAAGTCCCCTTTCCTCTCTCCCATAGCTTACCTATCTGAACAACTAGACTACACTGCCGAAGCGTGGCCCACCTGCCTCGGAGCCGCAGCAGCAGCCACCATCCGAGCCTTCGAAAGCACGAAACTACCAGTCCACTGAGACACCGCAGTCCACAGCCCACACAATCCACAGGGTCTCCTCCCCTCCCGAGCACTGAGTACACTTTCTCCGTGGATCCAACTACCCCACGCCCTCTTCCTTGAACACCCTGAGAGCCGCCTCTCCAAAGTGCTCCCCTCAGTCCTGTGTCCCTACTTCAGTGTTTTCCTCCCCTCCCACCCGCTCCTGTACTGACATCCTACAGCACCATTCCCTCCGATCTCCCCTGAACCTCTCACGATCCTGAGGACCAGTTATTCATAGATGGTTCCTCTTTCAAGTCAGCAAATGCCAGGCATGCAGTTGTTCCTTGACCAAGTAATTGACGCCAAACCCCTGCCCCAGGGACCTCCTCCCCAAGGGGGAACTTACAGCTCTCACCAGGGCCCGAACCTCTCCAAAGGCAAGAGTCAACATTTGTACCCAGTTTAAATATGCCTGTCACATTCTCCATTCTTAACGCCGCCACCTGGCAAGAGAGGATTCCTTACCGTCAAAGGAACCCCCGTCACTAGTGGCCCCTTATTTACCAACTTCTCCAAGCTGCACACCTCCCAGCTAAGGCAGGAGTTATGCAGTGTCGGGGACATCAAACAGGGTCAGATGACAAGAGGAAACAGAAAGGCTGGGGAGGCAGCCAAAACAGCCTCCATTTCTTCTGCGCCTGCTCCTTTCCTCTTCATTATCCCCGCAATCCACCCCCAACGTTCCCCCACTGAAGAATCTTCCCTGCTACAAGGGGCCTCCTTCCAAGGGAGCTGGGTAAAGATCAAAAACAAGACTCAGTCAAAAACTCACTCCTGACGTCCAGCAACCCCGGCCCTCCCTTCTGCCCATAGCCCTAGCACATATCAGAGCCAGCCCAAAAGCACCCTCCTTCCTCGGCCCATTTGAGTTAATGTATGACTCCCTTTCCTCCTGCACAACAGGCCCCTTCTAAGTCAGCTAGGAGAGTACCTCCCAGCATTCATCCTCAACTGCCATCTCCTCCGTGAACACGCAGACCAGGCCCTGCCAAAATCCCACCAACCACACTCAACTACCAGGAGAGCATGTCTTCCTAAAAACTCTTAACCCAGCAAGCCTTAAACCAAAGTGGGAAGGCCCTTTTCAAGTTATTCTTATAACCCCCACCACAGCCAGGCTCTCAGGACCTATCTCTTGATACCGTCTTTCCCGATTAAAAAGAGCTCCCAAGCCGGGCGCGGTGGCTCAAGCCTGTAATCCCAGCACTTTGGGAGGCCAAGGCGGGCTGATCACCTGAGGTCAGGAGTTTGAGACCACCCTGGCCAACATAGTAAAACCCTGTCCCTTTAAAAAAAAAAAAAGCTCCCAAAGCAGCCACTGAGCTGCCAACTGCCATCCTCCGCCCATCCACGAAGAAGACTCATGAGCGGTAACTCCATATATCACCGCTGTCCCTGCTCCAGGTGCCAAGGCCTCGTGACGAGGAACAGCCTTCCCACAAAGCATACCAAATATTAGACATCTTCCCCTCTCCCATTTCCACACGAACATGCAGTCCTAGCTCACCTATTCATTGCTCGTTTGCAATGAGAAGTTGTTGAGCCATGTGATGTTATTGGCTGCCTCAGAGACTCTCTAGAGGAGACCACGTCCCTGTACAGCCCCACCAACTCCTTCCCCCAGATACAGAATCCCATTCCAATAGTCACCCACAGCCTCTGCTCTTTCAGATTTTCTTCTCACTTCTACAAGACTCGAAGGCTCTGTGCATCATTCACTCCTTGTTACTGAGGCTCCCAAGCTCTCTGGATCACTCACTCCTTGTTACTGAGGCTCCCACGCTCTCTGGATCCCTCACTTCTGGTTACTGAGGCTCCCACGCTCTGTTGATCACTCACTTTTTACCAAGGCTCCCACGCTCTCTGGATTACTCACTCCTTGTTACTGAGTCTCCCATGCTCTCTGGATCCCTCACTCCTTGTTACTGAGTCTCCCACACTCTCTGGGTCTCTCACTCCTTGTTACTGAGGCTCCCAAGCTCTCTGGATCCCTCACTACTTGTTACAGAGGCTCCCACGCTCTCTGGATCACTCACTCCTCGTTTCTGAGGCTCCCATGCTCTCTGGATCCCTCACTCCTTGTTACTGAGTCTCCCACGCTCTCTGGATCACTCACTCCTTGTTACTGAGTCTCCCACGCTCTCTGGATCCCTCACTACTGAGTCTCCCATGCTCTCTGGATCCCTCACTCCTTGTTACAGAGACTCCCATGCTCTCTGGATCCCTCACTCCCTGTTACTGCACCCCAGCTCTACACTTGCTTCCAGTTGCTGGACCTGCGTTTCCCTTTCCTCTACTGCCTGCTCAGCTCTCCCAGTTTCTCAGCCCTGGGACCATATTTTCATTTGCTTTTCATACACCATTCAAAAAGGCTCTGCCTCTGTGGACAGAGTCCTCATCCTCACTGGGAACAATCCCACTGCCCTGCAAACAGAGTTTCCTAACTTCTCTTCACATACACTGCCAATTACAACCATGCGAAGCTCCCTCCCCTGCCATCCAATGTTCTTTGCCCTCCACACTGCGAGACTTGGCCAGGCCCCCTTATGTGTCATCTCTTGGGATAGTCAAAGGCACGTAGGCACCATGCCTCCCTCTGCCTGCCTCAAATCTGACCATCTGTCATTCCTCTTCCCACACCTCACTCTCAGTAAATTATTCAGTGACCCCTGAAGCCAACGGCCTCTTTACCCAGCCCCTCCGCATTTCCTCCCCTCCTGCCTCTCAGACATGGAAACCTCTTCCCCAGACAGCAGGTCTCAAAGGGGTCTCTCTCCTCCTCACTCTGGGTTTCTGAAGCTGAACCGAGTCCCTCCAAACGAGGAACTACACATCCCAACACCTATTCTCAATCCGCTCGTCTGTCTGCATTAACACCGCAGGCATCTTCTTCCTCTGCGGACCCACAACCTACTTCTGTCTCCTACCCACTGGACAGGTGCTTGCACCCTGGTCGATTTTACCCCCAACATTAACCTTGTCGCTCTGAACCAAGAGGAACTCCCTGTCCCTGCTGCACTACAAATCCGCCCAGAAAGAGCAATGCAGTCCATCCCCTTATTAGCAGCCCTCAGAGTCACAACTAGTCAGGTTAGAAGCAGGAAGCTAGAAACCTCATTAGCACATTTCCTGTCACTCTCCTGAGACTTTGAATCATCACTAGAAGAAACAGCAGACTCTATCACTCACCTCCAAAACCAATTAGACGGTTCAGTGGCAGTCACCCTGCAAACCAGAGGCCTAGAACTCCTCACTGTGGAAAAAGGAGGGCTGTGCCTCTTTTTTTTATTTTTCAGACAGAGTTTCGCTGTTGTTACTCAGACTGGAGTGCAATGGCGCGATCTCGGCTCACCACAACCTCCACCTCCTGGGTTCAGGCAATTCTCCTGCCTCCAAGTAGCTTAGATTGCAGGCAGGAACCACTATGCCCAGCTCATTTTTGTATTTTTAGTAGACACAAGGTTTCCACCTTGTTGACCAGGATGGCCTCGATGTCTTGACCTCGTGATTCACCCACCTCGGCCTCCCAAAGTGCTAGGATTACATGCTTGAGCCACCACGCCCAGCTGTGTTCTTTTTTTTTAAGACGGAATTTCTTTCATTACCCAGGCTAGAGTGCAATGGCACAATCTCCACTCAATGCAACATCGGCCTCCTGGGTTCAAGCAATACTCTTGCCTCAGCCTCCAAAGTCACTGGAAAAACACGCATGCGCCACCACACCAGGCTAATGTTTTGTATCTAGTAGACATGGGCTTTCATTTTGTTGGTCACACTGGTCTCGAACCCCTGACCTCAGGTGATCCCCGTACCTCAGCCTCCCAAAGAAGTGAAATTATAGGCGTGAGCCACCACACCCAACCTAATTTTGAATTACTTAATTTACCACTGAGATAGAGGTACTATGTTTTTGGTTTTTTTTTTTTTTCATACGGAGTTTCACTCTTATTTCCCAGGCTGGAGTGCAATGGCGCGATCTCGGCTCACCGCAACCTCTGCCTCCTGCGTTCAAGCAATTCTCCTACCGCAGCCTCCCGAGCAGCTGGGACTACAGGCTGCACCACCACGCCCAGATAATTTTGTTGTATTTTTAGTAGAGATGGGGTTTCACCATGACCAGGATGGTCTCCATCTCCTGACCTCCATCCACCCGCCTCGGCCTCCCAAAATGCAAGGATTATAGGCATGAGCCACCACACCCTGCGAGGTACTATGTTTCTTGTTGTTTGCATTTCAAAGACAGAACTCCTAAGTCCTTTAAGAAGACATCCTTAGATCACCTTTGTAAACTGAAAAAACGTTTAGTGTCTGAAAAGTACCACTTCAGAAGACAGAGAAAATGCATTTACAAAGGTTGTTAATAAATATCCTAAGAAAAGCGACAAAAGAAAACTTTTTCCTCTATTTTCTAAGGAGAAATTATGCCTCTCATTTATTTGCTTGAGACAGGGTCCAGCTCTGTCACCCAAGCTGGAGTACAGTGCGGAAATCAGGAATCACTGCAGCGTCGAATTCCCTGGTTCAAGCCATCCTCCCACTTGAGCAACCTGAGTAGCTGGGACCACAGGTGTGCACTACCACACTTGGCCAATTTTTTGTTAATTTTTAGCAGAGAGGAGGTCCCCCTGTCGCCCAGGCTAGTCTTGAAACCCTAGGCTAATGGAAACCACCTTCCTCAGCCTCTGACAGCACTGGAATTTCAGGCCTGAGCCACTGCATCTGATTGTATCATATACTTAATGTTACTCCTTGCTTCAATTTTAGCATAATTTGTATTCCCCTCGTACAGGCTCTTTTCAAACTCTGGTCTTATCCTTCTGAGTGCCTCAAATTAAAGCCTGTTCAGACATGTTATAACAAGTTTTTTCTGGTCTGTTTTGGTGCAACCAGTGTGAAATTCATGCATAAATTGTTCATAATTATGTATTTTTCCATGAACTTCTTGAAGATCCTTGTACTAGCAAACTGAATTCAAGTTTGTACATATTCAAAGGAATTGTACATATTCAAGTTCTACTTATTCATGGGCTGCAAGGATGGTTCAATGTACTCAAATCCATGTGATATACCATTTGCACAGAATGACAGATAAAAACCGCACCATCTCAAAAGATCAAGAAACATCGGCTGAGTGCGGTGGCTCACGCCTGTAATCCCATCACTTTGGGAGGCTGAGGTAGGTGGATCACGAGGTGAACAGATCAAGACCATCCTGGTCAACATGGTGAAACCCTGTCTGTACTAAAACTACAAAAAATTAGCTGAGCACGGTGGCACGTGCCTGTAATCCCAGCTACTCAGGAGGCTGAGGCAGGAGAATTGCCTGAACCCAGAAGGCAGAGGTTGCAGTTAGCTGAGATTGCGCTATTGCACTCCAGCCTGGGTAACAAGAGCGAAACTGTCTCGAAAGCAAAAAAAAAAATCATTTAAGAAAATTCAACATTCTTCCTTGAAAATAATCCTAAGCAAAATAGATAAAAAGTATACCTGAGCCCGAGCATGGTGGCTCAAGCCTGTAATCCCAGCAGTTCGGGATGCTGAGGCGGGAGGATCATGAGGTAAAGAGATCCAGATCATCCTGGTCAACATGGTGAAATCCCGTCTCTACTAAAAATACAAAAAATTTGCTGGGCAAAGTGGCGCATGCCTGTAATCCCAGCTACTCGGGAGGCTGAGGCAGGAGAATTGCCTGAACCCAGGAGGCGGAGGTTGCGGTGAGCCGAGATCGCGCCATTGCACTCCAGCCTGGGTAACAGAAGTGAAAAACTCCGTTAAAAAAAAAAAAAAAAAAAAAGAAAGAAATTTACTTCAAAAATATAAAGACTATCCATGCAATGACCAGAGTGAAATAACCAACAAGGGAAAATGAAATGCTTTTCCTGCAGAATCTCACATGATGCAAGAATGCTCTCATCCCTTCTATTCAAGAAGTACTGGCTGTCCTAGCCAGAGCAATTAAATAGCAAAAAATGAAACTCATCCAAATCAGAAAGAAGTAAAGTTATATTTGTCAGGTCCAGACGAGGTGACTCACACCGTAATCTCAGCACTTGGGAGGCTGAGGCAGGTGGACCACAAGGTTAGGAAATAGAAGACCATCCTGCCAACATGGTGAAATCCTGTCTCTACTGAAATACAAAAAAGAAAAACAAAACAACAAAATCAGTTGTGTGTGGTGGTGCAAGCCTTCAGTCCCAGCTACTCAGGAGGCTGAAACAGGAGAACTGCTTGGACACAGGAGGCGGAGGATGCAGTGAGCAGAAATTGTGCCATGGCACTCCAGGCTGGCAACAGAATGACTGTAAAAAAAAAATGTAGCCGGGCACCGGGTCTCACGCCTATAATCCCAGCACTTTCGCAGACTGAGGCGGGTGGATCACGAGGTCAAGAGATGGAGACCATCCTGGTCAACAAGGTGAAAGCTCGTCTCTACTAAAAATGCAAAAATTAGCTGGGCATGGTGGTGCGCACCTGAAGTCCCAGCTACTCGGGAGGCTGAGGCAGGAAAATTGCTCGAACCCAGGAGGCGGAGTTTGCGACGAGCCGAGATTGTGCCATTGCACTCCTGTCTGGGTAACAACAGTCAAACTCCGTGTCAAGAAAAAAAAAAAAATGTGTGAGTGTGTGTTTGCACATGACATGACTTTCTATGTAGAACATCATTCGCTCGGCACAGTGGCTTACACTTGTAATCCCAGCATTATGGGAGGCTAAAACGGGAGGATCACCTGAAGTTAGAAGTTCAAAACCAACATGGTCAACACGGTAAAACCCCATCTCTACTAGAAATAAAAAAGAAGTAGCAGGCGTGGTGGGGGGTACCTATCATTCCACTTGCTCAGGAGGCTGAGGTAGGAGAAACACTTAACTCAGGAGGTGGAGGCTGCAGCGAGCCAAGCTCACACCATTGCACTCCAGCTCGAGCGGAAAGACTGACACTGCCTCTCAAAAAAAAAAAAAAAAAAAGAAAAGAAAGCAAGAAAAGGAAATCTCAAAGAATCAATGAAAATATTATTGGTAAAATAAACATATTTAGTGTAACTGCAGAATACAAAGTTAGCACTTAAAATCAGGTGAATTTTCATAAAACAAAGAATTTTAAAAGAAATTAAAAACACACATCTATTTGCTAGAGAACTTAAAGTAAGAAATACTTAGGAGTAAATGTAGAAGGTGAGAAGTTTGTACCATGAAATCTACAAACATTCATCAAAATGATTAAAGAAATATATAGAGATACAACCCATATTGATGGATCGGAGAAACATTATTGAATGACTGTAAAACCCAATGTGATCTGGATTCAACACAATACCCACAAAAACCTCTATCAGATTTCTAAAGAAACAAAACACAGGCTGGGAAAAGTGGCTTACATCTGTTGCCCAGGCTGGTCTTAAACTAAACTCACAGGATGTACCTGTCTTTGCCTCCCAAAGTGCTAAGAATACAGATGTGAGCCACCCCATCCAGTCCAATCCTCTTAACACTTACATATCAATTAATGTTGAAACTCAATGTTAAGTCAACTCAGACTCAAGTCAATGCTGAATTGACTCTAATGTCAATTAATGTTTGATGGTTTGCTAGACTCATCGCATCTAAGAACATTATCTCAAAAATGGATTTTTGTTTCTTTTTTTTTTTTTTCTGAGACAAAGTTTCGCCCTTGTTACCCAGGCTGGAGTGAAATGGTGCAATCTCAGCTCACCGCAACCTCCACCTCCTGGGTTCAGGCAATTCTTCTTCCTCAGCCTCCCGAGTAGCTGGGACTACAGGCACGCACCACGATGCCCACCTAATTTTTTGTATTTTTAGTAGAGACGGGGTTTCACCATGTTGACCAGGATGGTCTCGATGTCTTCACCTCGTGATCCACCCACCTCGACCTCCCAAAGTGCTGGGATTACAGGCGAGTGCCACTGCGCCTGGCCAAAAATGAATTTTCCAATGTTCTGCAAGCAGTGACCTCTTCCTGAAGACCTTATGACACTTACGACATTTGCAAGTTTTCTGTCCAGTATGGATTCTCTAATATCTAATATGGTGTGAACGTGCAGTGAAGGCTTTGCCGCAATAATCACATTTGTGAGGTTTCTCTTCTGTATGAATTTTTCCGTTTTGCATGGGATGAGAATTGACTGAAGACCTTGCCACAGTTGTGACATTTGTAAGCATTATCTCGAGTATGAGTTCGCCAATGAACTGAAAGGTATGAACAATGTCTAAAACATTTGCGAAATTGATTACACTTGCAAGAATCCATTCATTATGGATGCTCCAATGATTTGCATTGGAGGATGCACATTGGTTGTAGCGTTACTGAAGACTGGGTGACAATAATTACATTAGAAAAGTTTCCCTATACCATGGATTGCTTCATGGTGTTAAGTAAGTGTTGACTGCGCACTAAAGGTTCTGCCACACTCATTAAACCTGTAAGGTTTCTCTCTAGTGTGAATTTTAGTATGGTGCCAGGTGTCAATCACGCCCAAAAGCCTTGTTACAAATCTAACGTTTGTAAGGTTTCACTCCAGTATGAATTCTTCTATGACTTTCAAGGTGTGATTTGCGCCTGAAAGTTTTGTCACATTCTTCACATTTGTAAGGTTTCTCTCCAGTATGAAGTCTATAATGGTATGTAAGGGTTGACTTCTGACGGAAGCTCTTGCCACACTCATTACACTTGTAAGGTTTCTCTCCAGTGTGAATTATCCTATGTCTTTTAAGACTTGATTTGCTACTGTAAATTTTGTGGCATTTTTCACATTTGTAAGGTTCCTCTCCAGTATGAAGTCTATGATGATGTGAAAGGTGTGCTTGTCGATTAAAAACCTTGCCACACTCATTACACTTGTAAGGTTTCTCTCCAGTATGAACTCTATGATGGCAAGTAAGGGTTGACTTCTGACGGAAGCTCTTGCCACACTCATTACACTTGTAAGGTTTCTCTCCAGTGTGAATTCTCCTATGTCTTTTAAGACTTGATTTGCTACTGTAAATTTTGTGGCATTTTTCACATTTGTAAGGTTCCTCTCCAGTATGAAGTCTATGATGATGTGAAAGGTGTGCTTGTTGATTAAAAACCTTGCCACACTCATTACACTTGTAACGTTGCTCTCTAGTATGAATTCTATGATGGCAGGTAAGGGTTGACATCTGACGGAAGCTCTTGCCACACTCATGACATCTGTAAGGTTTCTCTCCAGTATGACGTCTATGATGATGTAAAAGGTGTGTTCGTCGATTAAAAACCTTGCCACATTCATTACACTTGTAAGGTTTCTCTCCAGTATGAATTCTATGATGGCATGTAAGGGATGACTTCTGACGGAAGGTCTTCCCACACTCATTACACTTGTACGGTTTCTCTCCAGTATGAATTCTATGATGGCGTTTAAGGTATGACATCCGACTGAAGGTCTTGCCACACTCATGACACCTGTAAGGTTTCTCTCCAGAATGAATTCCCTGATGAACTGCAAGGTATGAACGATGTCTGAAAAACTTGCCACATTGATTACACTTGTAAGATCTTTCATTATGGATTCTCCAATGCCTTGCAATGGTTGTAGCGTTACTGAAGACGTGAAGACAATCATTACACTTGAAAAGTTTCCCTATACTGTGGGTGGACTGATGGTAAGTAAGTGTTGACTGCCCTCGAAAGGCTTTGCCACACTCCTTACACTTGTAAGGTTTCTCTCCAGTGTGAAGTCTACAGTGGCGTGTAAGGGCTGACTTCCAACTGAAGCTCTTGCCACACTCATTACACTGGTAAGGTTTCTCACGAGTGTGACATCTACGATGGCGTACAAGGTATGGCTTCTGATTAAAGGCCTTTCCACACACATCACATTCATATTGTTTCTCTCCTAAATGGATTATCTGGTATTTCCTCAAGAGGCAGCTATAGTTAGAGGCTTCTTTCTCATGACATTGGAAAGATTCTTCTCTCACATGAACTTTCGGGTTTTGTGTGAGTAACGAAGAACGGAGGAAATTGTTGTCAAAGTTATTAGAAATATGGGTTTGGGGCCTACAAGAAATGATTTCTGGCGCTGAAACTGAGAAAACATCATTGATAGATTTCTCAACTTGATTACCGAATTTCCCTTCCGTCCGAAATATGTGCAGTTCAGGCAAATGCGAATGAAAGCTTAATCCCAGCTGATCCGTAACAGGCTTGTTGCCAGCGTGCCTTTCGTCATCTTGGTCTGTACCACAAGGAAGCTTTTCAACTTTTCTCATGAGCGCCTCATGGCTATTTCTACACTCAAAATCACGAATATCTCTGTCAATTTCCTGGAAGCAGAAATCTCCCATGTGATGACTTTCATGTCTATCTAATATCCCTGTGTGGAACCCGTCTGTATCGCCTTGTGCTGTTGACAAGAGCCCCTTCATCTTGTATTTGGAAGAGATATCTACAAAATATAAACACAAATAGGTTTCCAATTAAGTACAAATAGTAAATAATACTAAAATAATACTAAAATGTTTAGTAAATAATACTAAAATAATACTAAAATGATACACAAAAAGGAACACAAAAGAAGTGACACTCTTGAATAAATAAAGAGTAATTACATGAACTTCAAGCCATGTCTACTGAAGCCTATTTCCAGTATCACAACAAAACAATCACAGGAGACAAGCACATGTAAGGCTAAAAAAAGGACTGTTTATCCACAGTGATCCTAAAGTGAATAAAACATTGCAAAAAAAAATTTCTTTCTTTTCTTTTTTTTTAAATAAAGTAAAAGTTTCAAAATGTTGATCAGGCTGATCTTGAACTCCTGACCTAAGGTGACCCGCCAGCCTTGGCCTCCAAAGTGCTTGGATTACAGGCATGAGCCACCGTGACCCGCCTGCAAAAAATATATACTGTCACATCAATGAAGACAATATATATATATATATATATATATTTTTTTTTTTTTTTTTTTTTTTTTTGACAAAGTTTCACTCTTGTTACCCAGGCTGGAGTGCAATGACACGATCTCGGCTCACCACAACCTCCGCCTCCTGGGTTCAGGCAATTCTCCTGTCTCAGCCTCCTGAGTAGCTGGGACGACAGGCACATGCCACGATGAGCAGCTAATTTTTTTTTTTTTTGAGAAGGATTTTCACTGTTGTTACCCAGACTGGAGTGCAATGGCACGATTTTGGCTCACCAAATCCTCTGCCTTCTGGGTTCAAGCAATTCTCCTGTCTCGGCCTCCCGAGTACCTGAAACTACAGGCGCACACAACCACGCCCAGCTAATTTTTGTATTTTTAGTAGAGACAGAGTTTCATCGTGTTAGCCAGGCTAGTTCTGAACTCCTGACCTCAGGTGATCGGCCCGCCTCGGCCTCCCAAAGTGCTGAGATTATAGGCATGAGCAACTCCACCAGGCCAGGTTATGGAAATTTTAAGTCTCATTATTATACTACAACTTTCCCCAAATATCTATCCAACACACTGCAGTTCTTCATACTGAAAGGAAGGCACACTAACGTGATTGTTATATTCACGTTATAATCATTCCTAAACCACTTACGTGTTTACTAAAACCTAAAAGACAAATGATTTTAAATCATAACAATGGCTGGGCACAGAGGCTCATGCCTGTAATCCCAGCACTTTGCGAATCTGAGGAAGATGGGTCACTTGAGATCAGGAGTTCGGGTCCAGCCTCACCAACATGGTATAACCTCAACTCTACTAAAAACACAAAAATTAGCTGGGGTGGTGGTGGGCGCCTGTAGTTTCACCTACTCAGGAAGCTGGGGCATAAGAACCATTGGAGCCTGGCAGGCGGAGGCTGTGGTTAGCCATGACTGGGCCACTGCACTTAGCCTGAGTGACAGAGCGAGACTCCATCTCAAAGATAAATAAAACTTAAAAAAACATAAATGAGAAGGGAGTCGAAGCATGTCTACACAAAAAAGCAACGAAACACAAAAAGCAGCATATGAGGAAGAACAAAAAGAACCTACAAGAATGACAGATAACAGGTAACAGAAAGGCAACGGTAAGGTCTTCTCCATCAGTAATACTTCAAATGTAAATACTTAACTCTGCACTCAGAAGAAAAAGACTGGCTGAATCAACAGGAGCCAACTACGTGTTGTCCACAGAAGACTCGTATTAGCCCTAAGGACACACATATGCTACAATTTAAAAAATAAAAGCCAACAGATAATATGAGGGTTGAGGCCTGTCATCTCAGGTATGCAGGAGGCTGAGGAGGATCTCAAGACCAAGTGCAACAACACAGCAAGACACTGTATCTACAAAAACAAAGAAACAAACAAACAAAAAACAACCTAAAACATTGGCCCGCCATGGTGGCATGCACCTGTACCAGCTACCCAGGGAGGCTGAGGCGGGACAATCACAGGAATTCAAGGTTGCAGTGAGCCATGATGACACCATTGCACTCCACCCTGGGGGACAGAGCAAGACACTGTATCTCAAAACTTTTTTAATAGAAAATAACACAAAAGACAAAACATAATATCCCAAGCAACTGTCATCCAGAGAGACGAGAGCTGGCAATACTAAAATACGTTTTAACTCAAAACTATTTAATTGGAGACAAGAAAGAACATTATATCATGATAATAGGGTCAATTCACCATTAATATACAAGAACTAGAGATACATATGCATGAATATCAGAGCTCCATATTTAAAGCCAATGTTTACAGAATCAAATGAATCACTCCACCGTAATACTAGATGATTTCAACATAAGACTTTCAGTAACGGAAAAAACAAGAGAGCTGACGAATAAAAATGGAGAGGGAGGCCAGGCGCGTGGCTCACGCTGCATTCCCGGCACTGTGGGAGGCCGGGCTCGTGGCTGACGCTGCATTCCCGGCACTGTGGGAGGCCGGGCTCCTGGCTCACGCTGCATTCCCGGCACTGTGGGAGGCTTAAACTTGTGGATCATTTCAGGTCAGAAGTTTGAGACTAGCCTGGCCACCAGAGTAAAACTCCATCTCTACTAAAAATACAAAAATTAGCTGGGCGTGCTGGTACAAACCTGTAATCGCACTTAGGAGGCTGAGGCAGGAGAATCACTTGAACCCAGTGGGCAGTGGCTACACTGAGCTGAGATTGCACCACTGCACGCCAGTCTGAGTGACTGAACGAGACTCCGTCACACACACAAAAAAGAAACTGATTATAAATCGATAAAATCCAGAATCGTGTGTAATGTGTAGAAATGTGTAAGATGAAAGTAGCAACGGCTTAAACACTAACAGTGAACTTCAAACCAGAGGCGTCTTCCCTGTGAGCCGTACTTCCAAGAGGACCTCAGGATGCAACATACAGCCTTCCTGTTGACTGTCTTTCCCACTCAGCTGAGTAACCATCGCAGAAAAATCTACCCACTCCTCTGTGACACACACTAGTAGTGTGGGTGAAGCATAACCGGAGAATGGCTGAGGAACCCTGTGACATGAGAAGAGATGCATATATTGGTCTCTTCCCCGGTTCCTGACACAAGAGCTCCGAAGACCGTGGGATGTCCCGGGTGATGGGAGGGCCATTTGTCCTTATGAGGAAACCTCTGAGGTCTCCTGGATGGGACTGATCACCAGCAAGACCAGGCCAGGCTTAGAAGCATGGAAAAGTCACTGCCATCCACCATCCTCCAGGAAGGGAAATGGGGCTGGAGACTGAGCTAATACCAATCATGACTACGTGGTGAAGCCTCCATGCAAATCCCTAAACTGTGGGGGATACGAGAGATTCCAAATGCTGAACACACGCAGGAGCCTGGAGCATGGCACACCCGTAATCTTCCCATGGTCCTTGTGTGGAGCACAGCTCACTGCAAAGACGGCTCTGGTTTTATGTGCACTGATATTTGTTTAAGCTACTTCTATGTTCATCCAGTACATTTTTTTTTCTTTTATGTTTTTCTTTTTGAGACGAAGTTTCACTGTTGTTACCCAGACTGGAGTGCAATGGCATGATCTCGGCTCACCACAACCTCTGCCTCTTGGGTTCAAGCCATTCTCCTGCCTCAGCCTCCCAAGTAGCTGGGACTACAGGTGCATGCCCCATGCCCAGCTATTTTTTGTATTTTTAGTAGAGACGGGGTTTCACCTTGTTGACCAGGATGGTCTCGATCTCTTGACCTCATGATCCACCCTCCTCGGCCTCCCAAAGTGCAGGGATTATAGGCCTGAGCCACCGTGCCTGGCCGTTCAGTACATTTTTATATATTACACATGATCTTGGATTTTACTGATTTCATAATCATTTTTCTATTTTTTTTTTTTGAGACGGAGTTTTCCTCTGTCACCAGGCTGGAGTGCAGTGACGTGATGTTGGCTCACTGCAACCTTCACCTCCCAGGTTCAAGTGATTCTCCCACCTCAGCCTCCAGAGTAGCTGGGAATACAGGTGTGTGGCATCACGCCCAGCCAATTTTTGTATTTTTAGTAGAGACAGGGTTTCACGTTGCTGGCAAGGCTGGTCTCGAACCCCTGACCTCATGATTCACCTGGCCTCCCAAGATGCTGGGATTACAAGCATGAGCCACTGAGTACGTACAGCTCATTTTCCTATTTTTTATGATAGTCTGTGTTCTTTTTTTATATCAATAATGTGTGGAACTTTCATATCAGAGAATGACTATTCGTTTACAATGTAGTGCCTCACTCTGTGAATCTTCTCATCTGGCTGTCCCTCTGTGTCCTGTGAAACATTCTTTATCATGAACCTAAGACGGTGCTTCACTGAGTTTTGTGAGCCACCCTAGCAAAGCAATCAAATGCAAGAAAGGGGTTGAGGGAACCCAACTTACAGCTGGTTGGTCAGAGGAACATGTGACAATCTACACTTGCAACTGCTCTGTGAGGTCTGGGGCCGCCCTTGCTGGCCTGGGAACTCAACCCTTCACCTGTGAGATCTGACTCTAACTCCGGGTAGACAGTGTCAGAACTAAATAAAACTACAAGAAACTCAGTTTGTGTCCGTTCAAGATTTGGATGTAATTGGGAAGAAATCCACTTCTGGTCATCAGAATTGAGGTGTTCAGTGCAAGGTGGCATGTGAGAGTAGGAAAAGCATATCTAATTTTTTTTTTTTTTTGTGGAAGGACAGAGTCTTGCTCTGTGACCCAGGCTGGAGTGCAGGGGTGAAATTTTAGCTCACTGCAACCTCCGGCTCTCAGGTTCAAGAGATTCTCCTGCCTCAGTCTCCCAAGTAGCTGGAATTAAAGGCACACACCATCACACCCAGCTACTTTTTGCATTTTCAGTCGGGATGGGGTTTCACCATGTTGCCAGGCTGGTCTCAAACTCCTGACCTAAAGTGATCCGCCTTCCTCAGCCTCTCAAAGTTCAGGGATGGCAGGTGTGAGCCGCCGTATGTGGCATTTTTTTTCCCCCAAATAAACAAGTAGACAATTTAAACAAGCA